ATATATATAAAAATTAGCCAGGCATGGTGGCAGGTGCCTGGAATCCCAGCTACTGGGGAGGCTGAGGGAGGAGAATTGCTTGACTGCAGGAGGCGGAGGTTGCGTTGACCCAAGATTACACCTCTGCACTCCAGCCTGAGCGACAGGACAAGACACTGTCTTAAAAAAAAAAGAAAAAAAAAAAAAAAAGGTTGTATACCTTAAATACATACTACTTTGTTAATCACACCTCAATAAAGCTGGGGAAAAAAATGGGGAGTGGGCTGGCCCAGGGGAAAGGACACCTCAGCTTCCCAAAACAGCTGTTGCTACCCAGATTTATAGCTGATGGTTATGTCAAAACCATTAGAGAAGCCAGTGAAAAGGCTATAGGGGACCCAGGCTAAGGGAGCCAAAGCCTTAGCCTGCATGAAAGTCACCCGCCAGTGGAAGGAAGGGCTGAGACGGTGCCCGGTGTCTTCCCAAAGGATCCAGCAGCCTCCCAGGCTGAAAGGCAGCAAGCACTGAGGGCCTCTGCCCACAATACAACTCAAGTGACGGAGACCAGACCTAGTGCTGCACAAGGCCACCGCGGTCTCCCCGCAGGGCCCAGCAGGCCTGAACCATACAGTTAGGTCTCAGATCTCACACACACACACACACACACACACACACACACCCCGGTCTCCCCGCAGGGCCCAGCAGGCCTGAACCATACAGTTAGGTCTTAGATCTCACACACACACACACACACACACACACTCTCACACTCTCTCACTCTGAAGGATTCTGAGTGAGCAGCTGAGACGCAGAGCAGGCGGGCAACCTCAACATTCAAGGCAGGAAAGGCCTAATTATCAGCTCCGAAGTAGCCCTCTGCTGAAAACGAAAGAACGCTGTGGAGTTGGGAAGACCAGCTACGATGAAGGTGACCCCCCTGGGCAACTGTAGCCCCAAATGAGCTGTTTGTCCTGTACTAAGGTCACTGTCAACTCCTTACCCAGGCCCCATCTTGCTTGTTGGGGGCCCTGGAGTAATCAAAGCTCCAGAGCCTCTGCCTGCTATTCTGGAAATGGGGTGTGAGGTTTGCAAACACTGCTGCACCCTGCATCCAAGGTTGTGTGCTGGGCCAAAAAACAAGTCAGAAGATTCCAGATTCAGCAGACATTAAACTGGAACTCTTCTTGGTTACTGAAGGAAGACTTGTCACCTTTTAGCTCGATACTTTTGGAGGACTTGAAGGGCACCAGGAAACTGCTGACATCTTGCCCAATTCCCAGTGAAGTATACCCCAGCTCTGTTTCCTCTTGCCAGAGAGCAAGGAATTGGCCCGTCTTCAGAGGAAGCTGTAAGCCAGGAGGGAAGAAGGGACCCTGTGGAGGACCCCATGGAGGAATCCTGCCATCTTTTCAGCTGAGGGGTTAACAGTCAAGCATGCCCAGCCAGGCGCTGACAGACAAACCCCTGGCCCTTTAGCAGGGCTGAGGAACTACAGCCTCTAAGTCAGGATCCCCTGGCTGCCTTTTCTGCCCCTTAGGGTCTGGCATGACTACTGACATAGGAGTAAATCAGGGGCCCACTTAGAAACCTCCCTTCTCCATGTTCATATGAAGGTGGTGTGAACAGGAAAGGAAAAAGAGAAAGAAGCCTCTTTCCAATGCCTTTAAAAAGTCATGCCAACAGCCCACTGGCTCAAGTCCAGAAAGAGACACTTCCCTGCCCCCCGAAGTGTGCATGGATCTGACTGATACATCCCATGAGAAAACATGTGCCCACAAGACCCCAATTCAATCTTTCCCCAGAGCCAGGAGGGCACACTTTTAAAACTGCTACTGTCTCTCAAGACATTTCAGCCCATTTCACAATTCCTGGGACAAGCTCTGCTTTTCTGTTCCTCTTTCAAAACAGGATAGGAGGTAGCCTCGCCATCAGAGAAATGCAAACTCCAAGATTTCCCACTAACAGAGCTCAGATCCCTTCCTGCTTGTGAGGATGGAGAGAGGCCGAGACTGGGGGACTGTGAGCCTGACCCTTCCTTGTCTGTGTCCGGCACGAGAGTGTTGTTGTTCACCCCTCTTCATTGGTACTTCTCTTTTTCTTCTGCCACTGGAAATAGCAGGACGCTTTCCCCTTTTATACTCCCTGCATCCAAGAGACTTGTTCTGCTCAAATCTGTTTTATTCCTAAAAATTCAGATACAGCTTATAAAGGAAGCCCTGGTGAAACGCATTCACTATTATAACGGACAGGAAATTTAGGAATACTCAACTATGGGCAGAGACACCAAAAAAGCCAAATGATGGTGTGTTTGCGTGTTTTTAAGTTATTCTAATTCCTCCATGCAGGGACTTCCCACGATGTTTACAGGCCTGTGAAAATACTGACACAAAACTTGACTATCAGGCCGGGCATGGCAGCTCACGCCTGTAATCCTAGCACTGTGGGAGGCTGAGACAGGCAGACCACTTGAGCTCACGAGTTCAAGACCAGCTTGGGCAACATAGTGAAATCTCATCTCTACAAAAAAAATAATAGTAATTAGCCAGGCATGGTGGCACACACCTGTAGTCCCAGCTACCTGGAAGGCTGAGGCAAGAGGATCACTTGAACCCAGGACATCAACGTTGTAGAGAGCTGAGATCACTCCACTGCACTCCAGCCTGGGTGATAAAGTAAGACCCTGTCTCAAAAAAAAAAAAAAAAAAAAACCTTGGCAGGGGGCAGTGGCTCACACCTGTAATCCCGGCACTTTGGGAGGCTGAGGTGGGCAGATCACCTGAGGTTAGGAGTTCCAGACCAGCCTGGGCAACATGGTGAAACCCTGTCTCTATTGAAAAACACAAAAATTTGCTCAGCGTGGTGACAGACACCTGTAATCCCAGCTACTTGGGAGGCTGAGGCAGGAGAATCGCTGGAATCCAGTAGGTGGAGGTTGCAGTGAGCCAAGATCGCGCCACCACACTCCAGTCTGGGCAACGAGCAAAACTCTGTCTCAAAAAAAAAAAAAAAAACCCCAGAAACAAACAAACACACAAAAAACTTTTTTCATTCCCCAAATCTAGAATCATTTTCTTGAAGCCCTGGCTTTCTTTTGGCCAAAATAAGAGCCGGCAGGGCTAAGGAAACTCTTCCCATGCCCAGATCTACAAAGAGCCAGTTGAGGTCAGTGAATCTGCCACCTGATCAAGGCCATCTTCTGCTATTACCCACTTCCTCCCTTCCCAGCAGGTCTTCAGTGCAATGCCCACCATCCAGGGTGCACAAGAAGGAAGGGGACATTCTTTCTGACTTAACATATATGGAGAGTTCTGGAAAGGTTTATCTCTGATTCATTATGTTTGGCACTCCCTTTCCTGCCTTGCTAAAGATTCAGTGCAATGACAGAACACCTTCTTTTGGATAGAGGGCTGGAAATTCTAATACCCAGCCTCAAGCCCGGTGGTTTGGTAGCTCACGTCACTGGAGTGAGACTGTTGGAACATGCCATCCCATAAGGTGACTACATATCCATTAGGTGCCAAGAAACAGGCTTGCTGGCTTTTTCTAGATTTTAAATTGTCAAAGTAATTTCCTGCAATGTTATTTTAAATAAACATCCCTAAAATAGAAACAGTTATGTATATGGTAGCCCTCAAGCCTCCAGGAAGTCCCCAAGCTCACCCAGGGAGAAGCCATTATCTACCTGTAGCAGGCCAAGCAGGGGAGCTGGTGCTATGGTTTGAAGGGATCCCCTCTAAAACCCCAGTTTTGCCAATGTGATAGTATTAAGAGGTAGGGCCTCTGAGAGGTGATTAGGCCAGGAGGACTCCTCACTCATGAATGTGATTGGGTACCCTTATAAAGTGACTTGACAAAGGGAGTTTGTCCTTCTTGCCCTTCCACCACCTGAGAACACAGTTGTTCAAGGTGCCATCTTGGAAGCAGAGAGCAGCCCTCACCAGAAACATTGCCAGTACCTTGATCCTGGACTTCCTGGCCTCCAGAACTGTGAGAAAATAATCTTTTTCTTTATAAATTACCTGGTCTCAGGTATTCTGCAATAGCAGCAAGAGATGGACTAAGATAGCAGGTCTGAGGAAAGAAGGGTAAGGAAGAACAGGCCACTCTAGAAACGGATGGTGGTGATATTTGCACACCTAAAAATGGTTACAGTAGGGGGTGGGAGAGATCCTACCTGCACTCTTTGATCACTTGATGGATGTCAAACTCAAAGGCTGCCAACAAGATGTTGTCCAGGGGTTCTGGGCTGCTCTCACCTCCCAGAAACAGGTCCAGGCTGGACTGTGGAAAGGTGATGAGACACTCAATTCCGAGGATGGAAGCAGAGACTCAGGGGACAGGCAGGGCTGCTGTATAAGGAACCCCAGAGAAGGGTGCCATGTTCTTTCACTAAGGACCAAAGGAAAGGATCCTCCTGTTCCTCGGGGACAAATTCAAAGAGAATGACCCATCACGGCGCCACCAGGACTCCTACCTCCACCCTTGCCCACCCCAAGCTCACTCACCTGGGCGTAGTAGTGCAGATCAATGGGTTTTACTGTGGGATTGGAGTACAAGAGCCGAGTCACTAGGAAATGATACCAATTACTCAGAAGTTCCTTCTGCTCTAACAAGGCGGCTTCGTCTCCCAGCATAATCTGAGGAAGAGACATTTGTGCTGAACTCTGTCCTCCTTTCAGGGGTACCTTCTCCATAATGCTCCTGCTCTCAGCTAGAGCACTGGATTTCAACTAGTCTGAAAGCTCTCACCATCATGGCAGAGCAACAGACAGCCCTATCCAAAGAGGACCAAGCTTCTGCCACTGCTGCACTGGATGCCACAGCCCCCACAGGAAGCCGACATGGATGCAATCTGAACTGCTTCCCAGACCTTCAAGAGAGACTCCAGGTGAGGGTTGGTGGCGAATGTGCTGTCCTGGAGATACCGCTCACATTCCTCGTGCCAGTGCTGCCACTTCAGCTCCAGCTCTGTCAGTGTCTGGGTGTTCCCGGGCTAAGGGAGAGACCAGCCATGAGACATCATCCCACCCAAACTCTTTATATTTAGTAAATCACCCATCTCCTGTGACCCAGCAGAGCAAAGCTACCCCCACGTACACTGAGAATGGGCATTGTCCTCATCAGGTCTCCCATGATTCGGCATATGCCTGCAGAGGCGGGGCTGGCGTCGGCTTCCTTGGAGAGCATCTGTCGGGCCTCATCCAGCCGGCCCTGCAGCACCAAGATGGTCACCTGGGAGGAGATCGGGCCCATGAGCACTAGCAGGAGGCCTGGCCCTGCCGAGGCGTGAGGAGGCCAGTCCCCTCACCCCACACTTCGGCTTTTTTTTTGAGACTGAGTCTCGCTCTGTCGCCCAGGCTGGAGTGCAGTGGCGTGATCTCGGCTCACTGCAAACTCCGCCTCCCGGATTCATGCCATTCTCCTGCCTCAGCCTCCCAAGTAGCTGGGACTACAGGCGCTCACTACCATGCCTGGCTAATTTTTTGTATTTTTAGTAGAGACAGGGTTTCACCGTCTTAGCCAGGATGGTCTTGATCTCCTGACTTCATGATCCGCCCGCCTTGGCCTCCCAAAGTGCTGGGATTACAGGCGTGAGCCACCGCGCCCAGCCACACTTTGGCTTTTTAACTCCTCACACATAGGCTTCTTTCTGACCCTGAGTCGGCCCTGGGAAGAATGATGGCTCTTTCCCTCCAGAAGTAATCTATCACATCCAGTCTCATGGCTTTGCCACTTCCACCATGTTTTTCAAACAGCCAGCTGTAGTCCATTATAGTCTGTGACCAGCTTTTTTTTTTTTTTTTTTTTCAGATTTTCGCTCTTTCTGCCCAGGCTGGAGTATAATGACACAATCTTGGCTCACTACAACCTCCACTTCCCGGGTTCAAGTGATTCTCCTGTCTCAGCCTCCTAAGTAGCTGGGATTACAGGTACATGCCACCACGCTCAGCTAATTTTTGTGTTTTTAGTAGAAACAGGGTTTTACTATGTTGGCCAGGCTGGTCTCAAACTCCTAAACTCAAGTGATTCCCCGCCTCGGCTTCCCAAAGTGTTGGGATTATAGGTGTGAGCCACCACGCCCAGACCCAGCTTTTCAAAAATAAATGAAACAGAGAAACATGTTCCTCTACCCGCTTCCCCCCACCCCTTCTCCACCATCATGGTGTGTGCTGTTGATTCTTCCTCCCACCGTCTTCTCACAAAACGTTCAGGATCATGCAATTCCTGGCCAAGAAACAAAAGCAAAATCGTCCCATTCCCCAGTGGATTCAGATTAAAACTGGTAATACAGGGCCAGGCGTGGTGGCTCATGCCTGTAATCCCAGCACTTTGGGAGGCCAAGGCAGGCAGATCACAAGGTCAGGAGATTGAGACCATCCTGGTTAACATGGTGAAACCCCATCTCTACTAAAAATACAAAAAAATTAGCAAGGCGTGGTGGTACGCATCTGTAGTCCCAGCTACTCAGGAGGCTGAGGCAGGAGAATCGCTTGAATCTGGGAGGTGGAGGTTGCAGGGAGCTGGGATTGCGCCACTGCACTCCAGCCTGGGCAACAGTGTGAGACTCCATCTCAAAACAAAACAAAAAACTGCTAATACAGTTAGCTACAACCCCAAGAGGAGGGACTGGAGAAGAACCAAGCTAGGTCTGCCAGGAATTACACATGAGATGCAGCACACCTTATCACAACAAGCTGAAACTGTCACCACTATCTGGAAAGGTGGACATACTTTGTTGAGAAAATGGTTTTTCTCTGATTATAAGCTCTACACTGGTAGGCTGGTTCAATAATAAATATGTGAGAAGTTTTGTTTGGAAAAAAATTAAAATGAAATAATAGAAAATGTCAGAATGCATTAAATAAAATGGTTCATAAAAGTTTCAGTTCAAATATAAATATGTAAAATAAATACACTCAGGCCGGGAGCGGTAGCTCACATCTGTAATCCCAGCACTTTGGGAGGCCGAGACGGGTGGATCACCTGAGAGCAGGAGTTTGAGACCAGCCTGGCCAACATGGTGAAACCCTGTCTCTACTAAAAATACAAAAATTAGCTGGGCGTGAT